AAGAGTGGCTCCGAACCAAGGAAATTGCTCGAGGTAGAAAAAGAGATCGAGGTTTCCACCAACTCGACAACGGAAGAAGACATCAGGCCCCAGAGGACGAATATGAAAAGAAGTTCGACGAGCGGGCAGACGTGGGAAGTGGATGTTGGCAAGGAGTGGGTCTCAAATGAACACCAGGCCACGGGGAAGCAAGTAACAAGTGATCCTCTTGAGAAGAATAAAACGAGGAACACCTCCCGGCCGTGGTGGGTGGCCCTGGAGATATTGAAGGAACTGGAAGACTGCCTAAAGAAACTCGACAGTGGAGTTTCACGCAAGCGATGCAACTGGGCTACCCAGCAGAAGGCTGAGATTAACAAATTAGAATTGGGGAGCCAACTGAAGAGAACTTGGCAGAACTTGTTAAGGGATCATTTTGAAGAAGCGATGAGGACATCCTCATCGGCGTCGCCGTTGATGGCGAATCCCTTCGTTAGAACAGCGGGACAACTGATGTTCGCGTAGAGCCTGGTGGGAATAGAATTAGAAACGCTGACCTCGCATGACAAGTTGAAATTGGGTGGAAAAAATCTAGAAATATATCAGACATTGATGCAACACATTGCTAGGGATAATTCAGGCTTGAGCCTGGCAAGGAGGAAAGACGCTACTTGTTTCTTGAGGTGGATAATGTCGGTGATGACCGACAATACTATCCTAACATGTCAACAAAGATCAATCGGAAGTAAGACAGTGGAAAGGAGAATCTCAGCAGTCATCTTGAATGTATACCAGAGTACTGGGATCGAAAAGGAGGATGGTTCCAGGCAGTCTCTAGAGAGCCACAGAAAGTTAGACGAGATACGGAGATTCTACAACAAGAAGTTTGAGGAGGGACACGACATACACCGTAACTTGGCCTCTTCAGGAGAGTACTTGAAACCCAATAAGAAGGGAGAATATCAGTACGTGTCTGGAGTAATGGGGATGGCGTACAACCCTTTCTTGGACTCGGAAGCCGGAGGCGCTCACAGGAACTAAGAGGTAGCGGAGAAGATAGTGGAAATAGACACGGTAGAGAGAGAGAGAGACCGAGCTTGGGCTTGATTCTCGAGAAAACACCAGAGGTGATAAGCGTGCCGAGCTCAAGTAAAAGAGTCGAGCTGAAGATGGGTAACGGGAACGGCATGTTAGTCACGAATCTGGGAGTGGTTTGGAAATTGCTAAGGCCCTCCTGGTGTCCACATCCCCACGCGAGCCTGATAAAGGAAGTCACGGAACGAGTGAGGTTAGCACCGGCGGAGGACGAAGATCTGGCAACATTGAGTATAGTGCACAAGCTGATATTGCCTCAGGTGAAGGAGTCAGGCGAAGCGACAAGTAAACTAGGGTCGGCAAAGAAGATAGAGCCGGGTAGTTGTCTTGACTCGACGTGTGGGAGTGGCGAGCACACCTGTGATGGACCGTCATGCGTTAGGATACAATCCTTCCAAAAAGAAGATCTAGTCACTTGGTTTGAAGATATCACAGAAAGGGAGAAGAGTGAAGTACAGATAGTGGCTGAGTGTTACGGGAGTACCATTGTGAATATAGCAACAGCTCTGGGATTCTTCTCAAGGATGTGCAGTCTCCAGTCACTGGAGAGGCTAGAGTCTGAACACCATTTGGTGACCGCGTTGAGCGTGGATTCATGGCCTGGGGTGTTGCAGGTAACCCAGAAACACATCAAAAGCTGGAAGGTCGGACTTGAGGCGGAAATGGGATTTCCTATGAGCGAAGCCTATGGCCTGCCTCTTAATGCGAAGTCCCTAGTGGGTTCAGTGATGGCCAACCTATGCGGCAGCCACTACCCATTGCACAGGGCGATGGTGGAGGTATCCAGCCAAAGGGTATCTCAGTGCCCAAGTGTGTAAGATTGGCTCGAATGTCGCATCACTCACACCGGTTGTTGTGAAAAATCCCAGGAATAGTGCCGAGAGAGCAGAGGGCTGACTTGAGTGAAATCTGGGGGAAATAACTTTTGGGTTTGGAAAAGGAAAACACAAGTGTCCACGAGAGACAAAATGTGATCGGGAAACCGATGGGTGGTGCTCCAAACATGGAGGGGAACGATACGATACACGAGAAGATGATGGAACTTGAACCTCTCCTAGAAGCCTCGGGAGAGCGCAACCTTAGGTGTATTGACCTCACACATGGGGAATGTCCATGCCACTGTCTGGCACAAACGTTGTGGTATCCGGATCACGCAAACCTCTGCCTGGTATGGGATGTGGAAGAAATTCGGTCGATAGGATTGCCCGATCATCAGCAGAAGGTGACCATCTTGGTGGTGAGCAAGATGTTGGCATTACTATGGATCGAAGAAAATGTAGCGAAGTACAGGGAGTCGAAGGCACCTATGGCAGAATCGATACACGCTATAGACTACAACAGGAGACTCGAGTTGTTTGAGACTGCATGCAAAGTATTCGCCAGACCTATAGAGGTCAGGCACGTACGGAGCCGCATAAGGTTCTTTCCTTGGTTTCGAGCGACGTTGACATCTTGGTTGTACATGGTAACGAAGGATCACATGAAGAAATATCAAAAGGAATATCGACAGTTCCTGGCCAAGATAGGACCGAAAGCTTTCAAGAGACCTCTGCTGACCCATCGAAATGCAATCACGACGGGGTGGAAAAGAGTCGGTAGGGTGTCAAGAAACAATACTAAGGCGAGAGAGTCGATACTGGAGGAAGACTTGTCGAAGAATGTGAGCCTGAGTCTGCACAATTCCTTCTGTTTGAACCGAGAGTCGAGGGTGAGGAGTTTGCCCAACCAAGCAAAGAGATTGCAGGAGCAAAGGGAATGGATGCGGTCCTATGAACGGCTGAAAGCCTGGGAAGAGATCGTGATTAGCTCCGATGATGAAGAGGCACTGTTGAAACAGATTGCAGTGTCAATACGTCTGGTTCTGGTACCTCGAAGGCGAAGAACGCGAGATGAGCAGGTGGCTCAATGGGAAATTCTAGAGTCTTGAGTTTTGAGAGGAAAGGAAAGGGGCTCGAGGGTGAACTTGGATTAAAACTGGGTTCCCAAAAAAGAAGTTTTAACAAAAGAGATATTGTTATTAATATGTTATATCTATTATATAAATCAAAATGCTGCATGATAATTTCCTGATTGAATAGGACAAAAGAAATTTTAAATGACTAGCTTAAAAAGCGAAAATTCAATGATGCAGGTGTGTGCAGATTTTGATTGCTGTTCAGCGATAGTAGGAAAATTTTACATGATTGTGAATTTTGGGTGTAGATAAACTTAAGTCTGCTGCAAACTTCTGTAAATGACCACTGGCACTGTACCTTGAGCAACACTCGGTTTTCTGGGGATTCACTGACAGACAACAGCACTCAATGAGGACATCGATCTTGAGTCCGGGGAGTATGTGCCAGTCGGTCATATCTGGAAGTTTGACCTTGAGGAATACGAAATACGTAGTTTTGGGATGAAGTTTAATTTTTCAAAAATTCGAATTGAGCCTGTCATGCTCAACTTTCTCGCGACAACTGAGAAATAAGACCAGAACGACCGAATCGCAATAGCGGGAAAATGACAGAAAAAACAGCGGGAAATTTCTATTCGCAATTTCCGAGATTCTAGTAAAAAGACGAGAGTAGAGCTGTCCTATCTTGATATAGGAGACAGAGTGATTACGAAAGAACATCGAAATTCAGCTGAACCAGAGTGAACCTTCAGTAGAAAGGTAGACAACTGAAGTCTCCCAATGGGTCAGACCCAAAATTATATTCTCAAGTTAAAACTCATTTCCTTTCATTGGAATTCATTGATAGCAAACTTCTCGAGTTATATTCAATCGTAATTATGCTAGAGTTATTAAATAGCTTAATTACTCTGATTCTCAAGTGTGCTGCTATGTGAGTACCTAATTTATTTTCCGAGTGTATTTTGTGATAAGTATGTTGAGATAAGGCGAGTTTTAGGTTGATCTATCTGAAACGGATCAAAGTTCCACTGTCCAATGAAAAGTAATTTAACGGATTGTTCCGACCCTGTTTTTAACGGTGTTCGTGTATTTTGGGTATTTTGAGACCTAAGTATGGGGACTTTCTTATTTTCTAGAGTGGGGGGGGGGTATTTTGGTAGTGGCCTTTAAGCTGTAACGGGTTCTAGTCTCATGTCGCAAGTGAACCGAATTGGCTCCGACCGTTTTGAGGTAGAAAAACACAAGAGATAGTGTCCCTGATTACTGAGCCAATGGTTATAGGGCCTATTTTTCTTAAGCCTCATATGTGACCGAAGTAGGCGACTGTTACATGATAGATTTCCCGAAAACCGAAAACGAAGGTCGAAGCTGACTGTGACCAGAACTCGAACCTCATTCCTGAAGGAATGCCGAAAAACGATATCATTCCTTTGTTCTTGAAGTTCAGTTCCGTGAAAAAAGGTAAATTATGAAAGTGGCTGGCCCTGCCGTTTAGGTACGGTCGTGCACAAGCTGGATAGGGCCCATACCAGCAATATATTAATACATCAATAAACAATATTGAGGAATTAAGTCAAGTCAGCATTTGATGCGTTGTCATTAAAGGTATATACTTCAATCCTCCCTCTATAATAGCACTAATTAAATTGTTAGTGAATTGCATCTTACGCAGTGATCTGCACCCGCGTTTACAAAGGATAGCGCTCCTGAGCAGCGCAAAGCTTATCTCAATTCTTATATACTTTTATATTTTCTGAGTAGCTTTCATGCCTTTTTTTAGCTATGAGCTGTTTTGTTCGCGTATCTGCTGGTGCGGCACCATTTCAGAAAAAATTTGGCTGTTTTTCTGAAAAACTATTCTGCGAATTTTGTTTTCGGTTTTGTAGAGGTGCGTTTTCAGCTATGCGCTGTTTTGTCCGCGTATCTGCTGGTGCGGCATCACCAGTGCAGCCAACAATGGTCGGGCAGAAGCTGCTCTGTTCGATTATTAGACCTCTCTGTTGGTAGTTTGAGTTTTTTAGTGATTCGTGGTACTTATTAAATAGTTTCTCGTTGGCTATGGCTCAATCTACCAAATGCGGATCCTGCAAAAAGGTGGTGAAAGAAGGTGATGCATGTGCAATTGGATGTGACAAGTCAGATGGATGGTTTCATGGGCAATGTGCTGGGATCACTGCGGTTGTTGTGTCAACTATGGGCCGCGTTCGTGGATGCTTTTGATTATGTTATGGCTGCCTAGAGAGTGACGTCTTCAAATCTGAAGCTAAGTTTGAACTTGTGATAAAGAAACATGAAACTTTACCTGATGTTATGAACGATGTTAAAAACTTATTTAAGGACACAGGCTCGACTACGTCAAACAACATTCCAAACAAAAATACCCATTCTAATTCATCAATTAACGAAATATAATTGATGATATTTCTGAAGACAAAGGTGACTCCACGTCTAATGCTGAAACAGAAGAAGCCAAGGTTTCGGAAATACTGGAGTTAAACATTAATATAAACCAAATATATAGACATGGTAAAAGTAAATCCTCAGAACTAAGGCCACGTACCATATGCCTATCATCAAATTGGGATGCTCGAAAATGTCTTGCTAAAGCGTATACACTCAAAAATTTTCAGGATAAAGTCTTCATTTCCAAGTCGCTCAATAGAGATGAAGAAGCTGTGAAACGCAAAATTCTCAAGAAACGATAAAAATTATAAATCACGACCAAATACCTCGCAATGAAATAAAAATTCGCGGCCTCACTCTTGAAAAAAATAGAGAAAAGCTTGAGTTAGACTGACTACAGCTGAAATTATGTCTGCTTGAAGTACAAAGCCAAATAAGTGTCAGCCTGCGTTTTAAAATCCTCAACTATCTTGGTTTACATTCATCCGAACCTGATATCGTCTTTCTTATCAATCCCGAATTATTTCCAATAAACTGTCCTTTTCTGTTATGTAACAGTCACCTACTTAAGTCACATATGAGGCTAAAAAAATGAGGCCCTATAACCATTGGCTCAAGAGTCAGGGACACTATTTCTTGTGTTTTTCTACCTCAAACGGTCCGAGCCAATTCGGTTCACTTGCGACATGTGACTAAAACCTTTGTTACAGCTTAAAGGCCACTACCAAAATACCTCTCCACTCTAGGAATTAAGTACGCCCCCATACTTAGTTCTCAAAATACCCAAAACACGCGAACGCCGTTAAAAACAGGGTCGGAACAATCCGTATAGTTACTTTTTGTTAGACAGTGGAACTTTGATCCATTTCAGATGGATCAACCTCAAACTCGCCTTACCTCAACATAATAATATAAAACACACTCAAGAAATTTAAATTGGGTACTCACATACCGGCACACTCTAGAGTTTGTGTAACTAAATCAATAAATAACTCCAGAATAACTAAGGAATTAAGTTTTTACTCGAGGAGTTTTGGATTAACAAGTCCCAGCTTGAGAAATGAGCTTCAACTTGAGAAATAAGGTTTTGGGGCTGGACCATTGGGAGACTTCGATCGTTTACCTTTCCACCGAATATTCACTCTGGTCCACTTCTAATTCGTTTTTTCGTGTATTTCTATGTCTGGAAGTTGCGAATAGCAATTTCCCGCTGCTTTTTTCGACCACTTTCCCGTGATTGTAAATCGGTTCTTTTGACGTTATTATTTTTGCATTTTCATTTGTCGCGAGAAACTTGAGCATGACATGTCCAATTCGAATTTTTGAAAATTTTCATTTCACCCCAAAATCATGTTCCTTGTGATGCTCAAGGTCAAACTTCCAAATATGACCGACTGGTACATACTCCCCGGACTCAAGATCGATGTCCTCATCGCGTGTCGCCATTTTCCAGTGAGACCCAGGATGTTGAGTGTTGCTCAAGATACAATGCCAGTGGTCATATACAGAAGTTTGCTGCAGATTTAACTTTATCTACACCCCAATATTCACATACATGTAAAATTGTCACACTATCGCTAAAAAGCAATCAAAATCTGAATACACCTGCCCCCTAAATGTCCGCTTTTTAAGCTAATGATTAAAAAAAATTGTTTTATCCAATCAGAAAATTTTCATGCAGCATTTTGGTTCAAATAATAGATATAGCATGTAAATAACAATACTTTGGTTCATTAAAATTTTTTTCCGTGACCTCGGATTTTATCCGAGTTCACACTCAAGCGCCCCTTTCTTTCCCTCTCAAGACTCAAGAAATTGTCACTGAGCTCCCTGCTCACTTCGTGCTCCTCGCTTTCGAGGTGCTAGGTCCTGATGCGTCCGACACTGTGATCTGCCTCAATAGCCCTTCCTCATCGTCGGAGCTGATCACGGTCTCTTCTCAAGCCTTCAGTTATTCGTAGGATCGCATCCATTCCCTCTGCTCTTGCAATCTCTTCGCCTGGATCGGCAAGCCCTTCATTTTAGATTTCCGGTTCAGGCGAAAGGAGTTGTGTAGGCTCAAACTCGCGTTCTTCGCCAAGTCTTCCACCAATAATGACTCCCTCGCCTTGGTGTTAACTCTAGACACCCGACTAGCTCTTTTCCAACCCGTCGTGATTAAATTACGATAGGTCAATAAGGGTCTCTTGAAGGCTTTCGGCCCTATCTCAGCCAGGAACTGTCGATATTCTTTCTGATGTTTCTTCATGTGATCCTTCGTCACCGCGTATAACCAAGACGTCAATGTCGCTCGAAACCATGGGAAGAACATTATGCGACTCCACACGTCCCTGACCTCCATTGGTATAGCGGATACCTTGCACGCAGTCTGAAACAACTCGAGCCTCCTGTTATAATCAATAGCGTGTATCGATTCCGCTGTTGGTGTCTACGACTCTCGATATTTCGTTATATTTTCTTCCATCCATCGCAACGCCGGTATTGAACTCACTACCAGTAGAGTCACCTTCTGTCGATGATCAGGTAACCCGATTGACCTAATTTCTTTCACGTCCCATGTCAGACAGAGGTTTGATTGCTCCGGATACCAAACCGTTTGAGCCAGGCAGTGGCACGGGCATTCCCCATGTGTGAGGTTTATACTCCGGAGGTTGCGTTCTCCTGATGCTTCAAGCAGAGCTTTCAAATCCATAATTTTTTCGTGCGTCACATCATTCTCCTCCAGTGCTGGTGTGCTGCTTGTCGGTTTCCCGATCGTGTTTTGTCTCTCGAAGTCACTCGTGTTCTCACCTTCCAGGCTCAAGAGTTCCTCCCCCAAGATCTCACTCAAGTTATCTCTCTTTTCCACCGGTACAGTCCCCAGAATCTTCCTCAACAGTCTGTGCGAGTGATGCGACATTCTTGCCAGGCGTACGCATCTGGGCACCGAGAAGGCTTTGTCAATCAGTATCCTCCGGCTGGATACCTCCATCATCGCCATGTGCAGTGGGTAGTGGCTTCCACACATGTTGGCCATGACTGATCCCATTAGGGACTTTGCGTTCACTGGCAAACTGTAAGCTTCACTCACGGGAAACCCCATTTCCGCCTCTTTACCAATCTTCCATCCTCTGATATGCTTCTGGGTTATTTGCAGCGCTCCAGGCCATGAGTCTACTCTCAACGCTGTTACCAAGTGGTGTTCGGACTCCAGCATCCCCAGCGACTGTAAACTGCACATCCTTGAGAAAAACCCCAATGCTGTTGCTATATTTACTGTAGTGTTCGTGTAACACTCAGCCACTATCTGCACTTCACTCTTCTCTTTCTCGGTGATGTCGCCAAACCAAGTGGATAGATCTTTTCTCTGAAAGGACTGTATCCAGACACATGATCGTCCATCGCAAAAATGTTCTCCACTTCCAGATGCCAGATCGAGACAACTACCGGGTTCCATCTTCTTCATTGACTTCTCTAGCTTGTTCATTATTTCTCCCGGCTCCTTATTATGGGGTAGGATCAGCTTGTGTATCACGTTCAGAGGTCCCAAATCTTCATCCTTCGTCGGCGACAGTCTTAATCGCTCCGTGACTTCTTCTATCAGGTTTGCATGGGGATGTGGGCACCAAGAAGGCCTCAGAAACTTCCAACCGTTCCCAGATTCGTGACCAGCATGCCATTTCCATTTCCTATCTTCAGTTCCACCCTCTTGTTTCAGCGTGGTACGCTAATCACCTCTGACATCTTCTCAAGTATCAGACCTAGGCTCGGTCTCTCCCTTTCCGCTGGGCCAATTTCAATCATCTTCTCTGTACAAAACTTCAACAAATCTGTCACTTCAATGTACTTGTGGGCATTCCCGGCCTCTGAATCCATGAAAGGGTTATATGCTATCCTCATACCTGCAGGTACATACTGGTATTCCCCCCGTCTGTTGGGTTTCGAGTAGTCTCCAGCCAGGACTAAATTGCGATGCACGTTATGCCCCTCTTCGAACTTCTTGTTGTAGACTCTCCGTATTTCGTCAAGTTTCCCGCGGTTCTCTAGAGACTGCCTGGAGTCATCTTCCTTTTCGATCCCCGTAATCTGGTACACGTTCAGTATGACCGTGGAGACTCTCCTCTGCATAATTTTGCTCCCCATGGCCTTCTGATGACACACTTGGACGGTATTGTTGGTTATCACTGACATTATCCACCTCAAGAAACAAGTGGCATCTTTTCTTCTCGCTAGACTCAAACCTGAATTATCTCTGGCGATATGCTGTACCAGCATCTGATAAACCTCTAGACTCTTGTTGCCCAGCTTCAACTACTCATGTGAGGTCAACACTTCTAATTCTATTCCCACCAGGCTCCATGCGAACAGCAGTTGTCCTGCCGTCCTGACGAAAGGGTTTGCCATCAATGCCTCTTCTCATTGCCTCTTCCAAGTATTTCCGCAGCAGATTTTGCCAAGTTCGTTTCAGCTGGTTCCCCAACTCTAACTTGTTAATCTCGGCTTTTTGGGCCGCTTGCGCCCAATTGCGCCGCTTGCGGGACACACCACAATCGAGTTTCTTCAGGCAATCCTCCAGTTCTTTCATGGTCTCCAGAGCCATCCACCAAGGTCGAGCGGTGTTTCTCGTCGCATTTCTCTCAAGAGGATCGCTAGCTACCCGCTT